GTTTGGGCTCAGGGGGCCGGGGTGGCGGGCCCGAGCGAGGTTCCCTCCGCGGAACAGAGTTCGGGTGGGGACACTGCAGTGACGGTTACTGGGGCGGAGGCGACGAGCGAGCGGGCTGAGTTGACGGGGGGGGTGGTTCCTGATGCGGCCAGGCAACACGCATATGTGTCGTTTGCGGGTCCGCTGGGGGTCCACCTCAAACAGGAGGTGAAGGAAAAATCTGGAAGGGTGACTTCTGCGAGATCTTTTCTCTTCTCCCTTTGGAGGATTTTATTGATCTCAAAGAGGACGATAAAAAAGATGAGAAGAAGGAGGAGGAAGAGAAGAAGAAGCGGTATCGTAAGATTCCCAAGTCTTTCGGTAACTGGCTGAGGGCCTTTTGCGTGTTGGCCAGTGTTCTGGGCGAGAAATCGCCGGGCCTGTGCTCCTCCCTGTTTTGTTATTTGGATGGCATTTGGGAGGCGTATCGCACCTATGGAGGACTGGCATGGTGGCGGTATGACGAGCAATTCCGGCAGCGTTTGGCGGCTAATCCGGGTATGCGGTGGGATCAAATGGACCTGCCTCTCAGGATGAAGCTGATGATGGCGCAAAAAGCTCAGCCATTTCAGCCCACGGCCGGCGCAAAGGGGCAGTCCGCCTCGTCGGCCGCCATGCAAAAGGGCTTCTGCTGGCTCTTTAACGAGGGCCAGTGCAAATGGGGAAACGCCTGTCGCTTTAAGCACGAGTGTTCGGGCTGCGGAGGCGCGCATGGGCTCAACAGGTGCTTCAAAAAAGGGAAGTCAGGGCACACCGGGGTCCCTACCTCGGCTGGGGGGGGAGGGGCAGTTTCGCTTGCCCCGGGGCCTAACCCCGGTGAGGCTAGACGCGATGGAGCCGTGGCTAAGCCGCTACGGTAATAAGGCAGATGCCGTGGCACTCCGGGCGGGGTTTGGACAGGGGTTCTTTATCCCTTTCCGGAACCGGGGGGGGACTGGGGTTCGGCGCAACCTTAAATCGGTGGCTGAGTTCCCGGGTGTGGTGCGGGAAAAACTGGGCAAGGAAGTCAAATTGGGGAGGATGGCGGGACCGTTCCCGGCTCCTCCATTGGAGGGTCTGCGGGTTTCCCCGCTCGGGGTGGTTCCCAAGAAGGAACCGGGCAAATTCAGGCTCATTCACCACCTCTCCTACCCGGAAGGAGAGTCGGTGAATGATGATATTGACAAGGACTTGTGCTCGGTCTCCTACGCATCATTCGACAGGGCGGTCGAGCTGGTAAGGAGGGCCGGGCATGGGGCACTGTTGGCTAAGGTGGATATTGAAGCAGCGTTTCGGCTGCTTCCGGTCCACCCAGCGTGTCATCACTTGCTGGGGTGTTTCTTCGACGGGGAGTACTTTGTGGATTTGTGCCTTCCGATGGGTTGTGCTATCTCCTGCGCCTACTTTGAGAAGTTTAGTACATTTCTTGAATGGGTGGTCAAGGTTGAGGCGGGGAGTGGGGCTGTGGTACACTATCTGGACGATTTTCTCTGCATGGGACCGGCGGGCTCCCCCGCCTGCCTACACTTGCTGAGAACGGTCGAGTGGGTGGCTGGCCATTTCGGGGTCCCGTTGGCGGCGGACAAGACAGAAGGGCCGGCTCTGTGCCTTAGTTTTCTGGGGCTGGAGATAGATATGTTGCAAGGGGAGTGTCGGCTGCCGTTGGAGAAGTTGCGGCGGCTGAGGGAGGAGGTGACAACGGCGGCTCAAGCCCGTAAGGTTACATTACGGCAGCTGCAGTCGTTGATCGGGATGCTGAATTTTGCATGCCGGGTGATCCCAATGGGTAGGGTGTTCAGCCGGAGCCTGTCGGCAGCGACGTCGGGGGTGCGATCCCCGCGTCACTTCATTCGGGTGTCGTCGGCCATGAGGGCCGACTTGGCCGTATGGGAGACCTTTTTGCGGGAGTTCAATGGGACGGTGATTTTTAGACAGGAGGGCGTGTCGGCTGCGGAACTGGAGCTGTTCACTGATGCGTCTGGTAGCGTGGGCTTCGGGGCTTATTTTGGGGGACGTTGGTGTGCGGAGCGATGGCCGGGGGAGTGGCGAATGAGCCCCCTCATGCGGAACTTGGCTTTCTTGGAGCTGTTCCCGCTGGTCGTAGCGTTGGCCCTGTGGGGGGATAGGCTGCGGGACCGGAAGGTGGTCTTTTCTCGGACAATATGGCCGTGGTGCACGCTGTGAATAACCAATCAGCGGCATCGAAACCCGTGGTTAGGTTGCTACGTCATTTTGTTCTGTTGTGCATGTCGCTAAATGTTGTTTTTCGTGCACGCCATGTGCCTGGGTTCATGAATGATGTAGCTGACGCCCTGTCTCGTTTTCAGTGGTCACGATTCCGGACGGTGGCGCCAGAAGCCCAAGAAGTGGGGCAGGCTTGCCCAGACGATATTTGGCGGCTCGGGGCGACCTGCTTGGGGGACTGGTGAAGGCTTAGCTGGCGCCGGCCACATGGGCCGCTTACAGTAAGGTCTGGGACTCCTGGGAAAGGTCATGGGAAGGGTTGGACCGCCTGCCGGCGGGGGAATCGCTCAAGGATGCGTTCCTCTGGTACACCTGTCAATTGCTGGTGAAAGGGGTATCCCCGGCGGTGGTTGACAGGTCCATGGCGGCGATGGCTTTCTGGTTCAAGCTACATGGGGAAGAGGACCTTACTAAGGCCTTTGTCATAAGGCAGGCACTGAAGGGGTACCGGCGGGGCCGCAGGCGGCCTGACACTCGGCGCCCAGTATCGGTGCGAGTGTTGAGTGAGCTGGTCGGTTTATTGCCTACTATATGTTTCGACAGGTTCGAAGCATCGTTGTTTCAGGCGGCGTTTCTGTTGGCCTTCTTTGGAGCCTTTCGGGTAGGGGAGTTGGTCAGTGCCACGAGGACTGCGGCAGGGGGGGTACAGGTGTCGGGGGTCCGAGTGCTGGAAGGGAAGGTGGTTGTTCACCTGGCAAAATCCAAGACGGACATGTTAGGCAAGGGCCGAGATGTGACGCTGCGGGCCCTGCCGGGCTCCGCTTTGTGCCCGGTGGCCGCAGTGGCGGGGTACATGGCACGGAGGCTGGGGGTTGGAGGATCGCTGCTGGTGCACGCGGACGGGTCTTCCCTCTCCCGGTTCCAGTTCACCAAGGTTTTTCGGTCTGGACTGGGAAAGCTAGGACTGAGGGTGGATACTTTTGGTACACACTCCTTTCGTATTGGGGCGGCTACGGAGGCAGCTCGGTTGGGTCTGGGGGATGACATAGTGAAACGGATTGGGAGATGGGAGTCGGTACGGTTCCGTTCATATGTGCGTTTGGGTTTATTGGAGTAAGATGGGGAAGGGCCTTTGGGGGATCCCCGGGGGCTGGGTGCATAAGGGGCTGTTATGATCTGTTTTCCTTCTCTCCCCCAGGCCGTGTCGCATGGATCGTGGGCCATTCATTTGTCTTCTGGGCCGAAAGGAGGGCTGCAGCTCGAGCTCAGGGCCACCAGCTGGGCTTTCATCGGGACCAGTTGGCAGTGCAATGGTTTGGGTACAGGGGTTTTTGTTGGGGGGAGGTCTGCGGAAGGGTGTTCCGGATGGTAGCAGGCGGGCAACGGCCGGACCTGCTGGTGCTCCATGCGGGGGGCAACGACTTGGACCTCACTCCGCAGCGGCGGCTGGTGAAGTGGATGAAGCAGGACCATAACAGTTTAAGGGACCTACTTCCGGGGGTGATGTTGGTCTGGTCGGAGATTATCCCTAGGAAGCGGTGGCAGCATGCTAGGGACCCGGAGGCTATTGACAGATGTAGGAAGAAAGTCAATAGCTTGATGGCAAGCTTCGTGCGGAAGCTAGGGGGTGTGGTAGTTCGACACAGCGAGTTGGAAGGTGGTTTGCCAGGGTACTACCGCTCGGATGGAGTCCATCTCTCGGCAGTTGGTTGGGATCTGTTGACCCTGGGCTGGCAGGATGGCATTACTAAGGCTCTTTTTCTTTGGGGTGGCGGAGCTCAGACAGCTTAAGGAGTCAAGGTCTGAGCTTGTGGCGGGATAGGGAGCTGAAGGAGAAGAAATAGGCTCCCTAGGATGAACGTCATGGAGACGTAAAACTGTGGTCATTGGTGGTTGGTAGGTTCAGAGTCCTGTCGGTGGCTCAGAATCTGGTGGGGCAGGGGTATCCGGGTATACCCCTGCCATGGTTAATTTATGTTTGGCACTTTAAGTTGGTATGTTGGAATATTTTGATACGTATGTTATATGTATATGTATATATGTTATTTATATGGGGGTCATTGCCTGTTATATTAACAGAAGGATTCGGTTACGAGGGCGGAGTATGGGGGCAATGACCCATGTTTATTGTTAAAATTATTATTGCTTAATAAATTATTATTATTCAAGATTATTTAAATAAAGCTGTGGACAAATTTTCCCATATACCTTTGTGTCAGTGAGTTATTGGGTTAGGTATGTGGGAGGGTTGTCCTGGAGTCCGACTGCCCATATGGCGACTATACACCGGTCATGTAGCCCCATGTAGCCAAAGCGCAGCTAAGCGAAAAAAGGCCTTGACAGGGGTTAGGAGGCGGGCATAGGAGGAGGGAAGGAAGTATGGAGTTATGGGTAAGTAGGCTTGGCTATTTAAATAGGCAGCCATTTTAAAGCCTTCACTTTTAATTACTACCTTGCTGAGTTTGTCCCGCCCACCCTCCCTGTATTTGGTTCGGACTTGGGTTATCCCGTTTTTTCACAGCGGCGGGATAGGGAGCTGAAGGAGAAGAAATAGGCTCCCTAGGATGAACGTCATGGAGACGTAAAACTGTGGTCATTGGTGGTTGGTAGGTTCCGAGTCCTGTCGGTGGCTCAGAATCTGGTGGGGCAGGGGTATCCGGGTATACCCCTGCCATGGTTAATTTATGTTTGGCACTTTAAGTTGGTATGTTGGAATATGTTGATACATATGTTATATGTATATGTATATATGTTATTTATATGGGGGTCATTGCCTGTTATATTAACAGAAGGATTCGGTTACGAGGGCGGAGTATGGGGGCAATGACCCATGTTTATTGTTAAAATTATTATTGCTTAATAAATTATTATTATTCAAGATTGTTTAAATAAAGCTGTGGACAAATTTTCCCATATACCTTTGTGTCAGTGAGTTATTGGGTTAGGTATGTGGGAGGGTTGTCCTGGAGTCCGACTGCCCATATGGCGACTATACACCGGTCAAGGAAGTAAAGCATCTGTCTTGCCATAAAATGACTAAATATGTTAAATCATGCTGATACAAACCCTTATATAACCTCCAATATGCTGGTTTTTGTTGGGGAAAATATTATGTATATATCTGTTTAATATGTGCTTGATTAAGTCTGTGTGTATGGGAGGTCAGGAATTATCTTCAAAGGGAGTTTCTGTTTAGATAGTTGGAAAGGTACAGCACCTGAAAGGCACCAATCACATTTACATATCAACTGGTCTTCAAAGGAGTCCCTATCTAGGAAAACACACCTTGGGTTAGAGGCAAAGGGATGGCTGGAAGAGTTAACACTTAAATAAAATAACAGGATAGGGCCTTGGGAAAGGAAATCACATTTCCATGTCAAATTGAGCTGAGGAATTGGCTATTTACAACATGGGAACCAATTCCTTTAAAAATAGAAGATACTGACATCACATTAGATTAGGTTTGGTAAGACACACAAGCTGCACTTAAAGGACCACTCTAGGCACCCAGACCACTTCAGCTTAATGAAGTGGTCTGGGTGCCTGGTACTTCTAGGGTTAACCCATTTTTTAATAAACATAGCAGTTTCAGAGAAAATGCAGTGTTTACATTACAGCCTAGTGATAACTTCACTGGCCACTCCTCAGATGGCTGTTAGAGCTCCTTCCTGGGTCATGGCTGCCTAAAATGCATCCAAACATTCAGTGTCTCCCCCCTCTGCATGCAGACACTGAACTTTCCTCATAGAGATACATTGATTCAATGTATCTCTATGAGGAGATGCTGATTGACCAGGGCTGTGTTTGAATCATGCTGGCTCTGCCCCTGATCTGCCTCTTTGTCAGTCTCAGCCAATCCTATGGGGAAGCACTGTGATTGGACCAGGCCACCACTTCTGATGATGTCAACAAAGCAGGCAGATCAGGGACAAAGTTGAATAAAAGTAGATTTTGCTATATTTAGGGAGGCAAGGGGGCTAGATGATGGTTTTAACACTATAGGGTCAGGAATACATGTTTGTGTGATATTTCATAGATACCATTAACATAGGTATATTTAAAGACAGAGTATAATGTTTGCAGTGATAAAATAATAAACATATAAGAGAATTAAAAGTTTATTTGATGATCAGCAATTAAGGTGTTAAGCATTATACAACATCCATGATATTTTTAAGAATAACATATGGTATACGTCAGAAGTACAAAATGAAAATTAACGTATTAACCAGTGAATTGTTTCATTATTTTGATTCTGTGCCACTCATAGAGAGCTATTGAGACTAAACCTTTATAAACACTATGCTTTTATCAATAAACTGATGAATTTTCAGATTGCATCAGAAACTCTGTGTTTCAGTTTGGTTATTATTTCCAACCGGTTAAATCAACAAAGGTATGTCCATAAATTGTTCAATTCTTCAGGTAAATAGATGGTTGACCAACCATGTAAGGCCCCCGGTCAGAAAAGAATCCCAACGCAATCTATAATAATTCCAGATGTGTTGATGCACAGTTACTGACCATAATAATTCCAGATGTGTTGCAGCACCGTTACTGACCATAATAATTCCAGATGTGTTGCAGCACGGTTACCGACCATAATAATTCCAGATGTGTTGCAACAGCGTTACCGACCATAATAATTCCAGATGTGTTGCAGCACCGTTACTGACCATAATAATTCCAGATGTGTTGCAGCACCGTTACTGACCATAATAATTCCAGATGTGTTGCAGCACGGTTACTGACCATAATAATTCCAGATGTGTTGCAGCACGGTTACTGACCATAATAATTCCAGATGTGTTGCAGCATGGTTACTATCCATAATAATTCCAGATGTGTTGCAGCACCGTTACTGACCATAATAATTCCAGATGTGTTGCAGCACGGTTACTGACCATAATAGTTCCAGATGTGTTACAGCACGGATACTGACCATAATAATTCCAGATGTGTTACAGCACGGATACTGACCATAATAATTCCAGATGTGTTACAGCACAGTTACTGACCATAATAATTCCAGATGTGTTACAGCACGGATACTGACCATAATAATTCCAGATGTGTTGCAGCACGGTTACCGACCATATCATCTCCAGATGTGTTGCAGCACCGCTACTGACCATAATAATTCCAGATGTTGCAGCACCCGTTAACACCATAATTCCAGATGTAAGGTAAGCACCTGATACTCGACCTCATAATAATCTAGATGTGTTAAGCAGCACGGTTACCGACCATACATTCCAGATGTGTTGCAGCACGGATACCGACCATAATAATTCCAGATGTGTTGCAGCACGGTTACTGACCATAATAATTCCAGATGTGTTGCAGCACCGTTACTGACCATAATAATTCCAGATGTGTTGCAGCACGGTTACTGACCATAATAATTCCAGATGTGTTACAGCACCGTTACTGACCATAATAATTCCAGATGTGTTGCAGCACGGTTACTGACCATAATAATTCCAGATGTGTTACAGCACTGTTACTGACCATAATAATTCCAGATGTGTTGCAGCACGGATACTGACCATAATAATTCCAGATGTGTTGCAGCACCGTTACCGACCATAATAATTCCAGATGTGTTGCAGCACGGTTACTGACCATAATAATTCCAGATGTGTTGCAGCACCGTTACTGACCATAATAATTCCAGATGTGTTACAGCACGGTTACTGACCATAATAATTCCAGATGTGTTGCAGCACGGTTACTGACCATAATAATTCCAGATGTGTTACAGCACGGTTACTGACCATAATAATTCCAGATGTGTTACAGCACGGTTACTGACCATAATAATTCAGATGTGTTACAGCACGGTTACTGACCATAATAATTCCAGATGTGTTACAGCACGGATACTGACCATAATAATTCCAGATGTGTTGCAGCACGGATACTGACCATAATAATTCCAGATGTGTTACAGCACGGTTACTGACCATAATAATTCCAGATGTGTTGATGCACGGTTACTGACCATAATAATTCCAGATGTGTTGCAGCACGGATACTGACCATAATAATTCCAGATGTGTTACAGCACCGTTACTGACCATAATAATTCCAGATGTGTTGATGCACGGTTACTGACCATAATAATTCCAGATGTGTTGATGCACGGTTACTGACCATAATAATTCCAGATGTGTTGCATCACGGTTACTGACCATAATAATTCCAGATGTGTTACAGCACCGTTACTGACCATAATAATTCCAGATGTGTTACAGCACGGTTACTGACCATAATAATTCCAGATGTGTTGCAGCACGGATACTGACCATAATAATTCCAGATGTGTTGCAGCACGGTTACTGACCATAATAATTCCAGATGTGTTGCAGCACGGTTACTGACCATAATAATTCCAGATGTGTTGCAGCACGGTTACTGACCATAATAATTCCAGATGTGTTACAGCACGGTTACTGACCATAATAATTCCAGATGTGTTACAGCACGGTTACTGACCATAATAATTCTAGATGTGTTACAGCACGGTTACTGACCATAATAATTCCAGATGTGTTACAGCACGGTTACTGACCATAATAATTCCAGATGTGTTGCAGCACCGTTACTGACCATAATAATTCCAGATGTGTTACAGCACCGTTACTGACAATAATAATTCTGAAAGTGTTACTGCACGGTTATTGGATGTAATAAGTCCGGATGGGGCGGAGCCTAGGAGCCACGTTGACTGGTCGCACTCCGAGAGCACCGTGCAATCTGGCTCCTAATAATGCTCTAAATACAAATTTATGACTTGAACTAACATCTCTTGCTCTCAAACCACCCTTGTTTTTATCTGAGATCGACAGCTTCTGAGATTGTCAGCTTCCAAAGCCTGCTAGCAGTGATCGAGAGGGAGACTGCCGATCCCTCAGCCTGTTACCAAACATCGTTTATTTTGTACTTTCTTCCCCCTCTACCAGTTAGGCTTATACATCTTTCATTTGTGTCTCAGTGGTGAAGCTTCTGGGACTACACAACTGAGACAACCAACCTGCCATGATCAAGATGGCGGACGCCTTGTGTAACCAAGTGCCTCGATATCTGCAGCTGACTCTCCTGGAGAAGCTACATGCCCTGTTCACAACCTTTTGCGCCACACTAGCCGATCGCCTGCACACTCCTGCTGGAGTCCTGCCAGAGCTTTCCTTGCCTCGTATCACACAAAAGTTTGCAGATCCTGGACGATGCACTGGTGCAATCGAAACGGAAGAGGTGGGTGTTGTGGAAACCACTCCGGCACTGAAAACTCACTATTCCACTGCCTTCCTGGGTTATGGCCCAAACTGGGACATTTACCTGGACGCAATTCACTAACTTGGAAGACCCATACTACTCATGAGCACAAGCAACCTCGCATAGGGCCTCGAGGTCAGGTTCTGGTCAAAACCTGGGACTAGTAAAACTGGCGATATGGGCATCGTTAAGGCCTGGGGCTGGCTGGGTGCAGATTCACGGGACTGGAGCTCTCTTACTAGCCAGGATTGTGTCCGTCATATGACAGGTGTGGGTTAAACACCATGGTCTCATGTCTCCTTTTTCTTTTAGTCTTAATAAAGCAACAGCATGTTTTCACAGTTGGTTTTTGTTATACTCAATTTTATTTGCCTCTATTTGGTATGATTCATTATTTGCAATTGCTGCAGCATGACTGCTAGGGTACAATTTACCCCTCTCTATTCTTACAGGTACCTCGTTACTTACCTGTAAGTAATATTCACTGACTTTATTGAGCGCTACACGGGTACACCAACCTGTTACAACCAACAAGCACATCTAGTTAATAAAAGTGCACCTTTATCCCCACGACAATGTATTAACGTGTATACTACTGCAGAGATTGCCAGTGCAGCGGTGGCATAACAAACCTGAACTGTTATAATTAAATCAAATCTACTCAGAGAAGACCAGGACACCAAGTCTGAACATTCTATAATCAGATGCACTGGCACACAGTCAGAAATACATTAGAAAGATCCTGGCCACTACTACACCAAGACCAGCATCTAAGGGAAGTTTTAACATCTCATGTTGCCATGACAGCCAGCCGCCGATGTAACTTAATGGACATTTTGGTCCCTAGTCACCTCTCCATCCCTGCAAATAAAACAAACTGTGGGGCACAGCAATGCGGGCGTTGAAAGCCTGTAAATACATTCGCAGACACTCCAAACCGTCTCAAATTCAAGTGAAAATGAAACCTTTATGACAAAAACCTTTTCCAACTGCCAATCCTCAGGAATAGTTTACCTTTTGACCTGTAGTTGTAACTTAAAATACGTGGGAAAAACAAGCAGAGCGTTTAAAAAGTGAATTTTAGAACATGTTCATTTGATTAACCCTTCCAGACTTATTGACACCCCAATATCCAAACATCTAAAGCTACAACATGGAGGCTCCTCCCAAGGGCTTCGCTTCAGCGGAATAGAAAAAATAAACCTGGGCCCAAGAAAAGGCGACTTCGATTAGAAACTACTCCAGAGAGAAAGTTTCTGGATTTACAAACTAAAAACATTATATCCATCTGGATTAAATGAAGGATTTTCATACACCATTTATATCTGATTAAACTCATAATGCACTTTTTTAACATCAATAAGAATATACCACTATATGAATGTACAGCACTTCTTTATAACCAAAACAACTTTACAATTCTCCGCTCTGTAAATCCACCGCTTTTCATGTTTACACCTGATTGACACACCTCCACTAGACACATAAGTGTACATCCACTAAATATACGATCGCAATTATTTTGGCTCACCTTAAATGACATCACCCATAGATCAGCCCTCTCTGTCAAAATATATATCTAGACACAATTGTCCCATATATCTTGATAACTTCAAGAATCAGCCCTGTATATCGCTGTATCGATCGAAAAAACTAAATTGATACAAAAGGGCTTAGTAGCCCCCATAATATGGGAAACATCTATTTAAACATTAAATATATAGATTCATATTATTAAGGCATACTGATAGCTAATAGAATTTCACACAGTATATCTGTAAAGGACCGTTTAGCACAAAAGGGGTAAAAACCGTTTAGGCGATCGGACCCCTTTCCAGAGATGCAGGCACAGCTACTGCAGAACACCAAACACACAATAAGTGAATGCTCCAAACTCCCGAACGGCATACAAGGGAATGCTCCAAATACCCGAACTGCATACAAGGGAATGCTCCAAACACTCGAACTGGAACCTCACGAATAGCTGCTAGCAGACGAACAGGAAAAGCACCCAAGCGGCTTACACTCCTGGCAATCAGTCCTTAGCAGCATACAGTAAATCCCCCCCAAAGACGAGACAAGGCTCCGTGTTGAGGGTCAAGCAGTGGTCTGTTTAATGAGGGCTACCTGCCCAGTATTTATGCAGGTTTCCCACCTGGTGGACACTCCCCTAGGGGACCAAATGGGAGACTGTGACAAAGGACAGACAAGTAGACAAATAGGACACACAGTCACAATATATTCCCACAATGCATCCTGGCTTCCTCCCCTCTGCCCTGGGAGATAATTGAGAAGTAATTCAATTATCTCCCAAGACAAAGGCAAATCGCCATTATGCACGTGGGGATACTAAAACAAGAATTACTGTTAAAATACACCATGTAAGACACATTACATTAAAACTATACATTTAACATGAGGCTTTATCTATAACTAACTCTGTCTGGTTATTCTCAATTAAAACTATACATTTAACATATCCCCAGATAGCTCAGGTCTGAGTGCACATTATTAAGCGAATGGCGCTCAGACCACACAAATACAGTTTAATCGCCATGGAGCCAAAGTCTTTACAGTCATTTTTATACGAATGGGCTCCATGGGATTCCTATCTGGGGTATAACACATTCAAACAAAACTACCGAACACCGGGCCGTTCGTGCACTTCCACCGAACAAGAAGGGAGGTCGGCGGCTTCAGCGGTGTTCGCGCAAAACTGTGTCAGATTTTAGTTCCATGAAAATAGGGGCGAACACCGCTGTGCATTCATATGTTTAAAATGGCCGCGACCTCGTGTTCGGGATACGAATGGCGGCCACCCAGCATTCGTCAATTAAGCTGCGGTTAACCGCAGCTTCAGGGAGGTTAATTGCCGGCACACTCCAGCTCCCAGGTGGTCGATTCATTCGTGCAGTTGTTCGGTAGATTGAATCTACCGAACAACCGGCAGAAAAGCACGAATACAGCTTTTCTGCGGGCGAAATAAAGTCTTTTAACAGGGGGCCATAGTCCAGAGGCAGCAGGCGAGCAACCAGGCTTCTCCAATGCAATGTGGCGAGATTGGTCTCGTCACAATATCCCTACAGGGGGTTAATTACATTAAATAAATAGACTGCCATTATAGATATGACTGGAAACCTTATAGGATGGGTTGATGTACTTTTGGTTTTGCACATAAGACATTAGACATTAGACATGAGTGCAAAGAAGACATAGTTTCGAACACACATCGGACATTGCATTGAAAGGGTTAATCCTCTCAAGTGAGTCACATATCATGATCTGTCCTCAGATTGGATCTAATAAAAGAGGTACTTTGCATAATCAATTGCTCTACTCTCCAGGACACACCCATTAATGACGTGGCAATACCAGATTGGCTTACCATCCGGCTTCCACATAGGATGATGGGTTTAAAAGGGAGTTTGTGGTCAGTTCACTCTTGTCCCCTGACGAAGGTGCACACGTCTGTGTACCGAAACGCGCGTCGAGCATTTGTTTCTTTCTCACAGGGCACTCAGCACTTGGAACATGCTGTAGGAAATCGGCTCAATTAAGCAGCATGGATTCAATTTATTAACACTTTTTAAGCTTTATTTCATATTTCTTTTTCCTCTGACTATTTAGTTAGAATAACAGGGAGAGAGGCTTTATCTATAACTAACTCTGTCTGGTTATTCTCAATAATCCTTAATATAAGGTGCATTATTTTATGCTGATACTCTATGAGCTAGCGGATCTCGTTTATAATTATTAGAAGACTCTTAGAACAAGTCACAGCAGTCAGGTGGAACATTACAAAGAATTTATTTCTAAACCTATTTTGAGGTATACAATTGGGACTGCAAATGTTAAGCCTGTAAATGGCGGCTTTCAACTATTATGCTCTTAATTTCAACACCCAAGTAACTGTGATTAAACGTCTAAACAAGTTGAATTAAGTGCAATCTCTACACAGCAGAGCTTAATTCCAACTGTGCAAGAAAGTCCTACTGGGGCTTTATCTATTGAACGATACTCATCTAATCTAATGCAAACGTGACTATAGTTCTTGAGCCAATATATCACTTTGTATCAGCTATACTCATCAACAATATTACCTACAACAACTTTAATTATGGCCTCTCCCTGTATCTTTGATCTAATTTAACTTGTATCCGATTCCCCTACAGAGGCAGACCTGAATAAAGCCTGATTAAATAGGATCTTTGCTAATTGTTATAGTCAGAGACTTAGCCGGAATTACTAATCTGACCACAACCACTTTGTGGCGAAGTGTTTCCACCTCAGTATGTATACTCTATTTACTTTCCAGATATCCCTAACAGACAGAGCTTCAGCTCTGGTGAGAGTTACAATTTTATATAATAACATACATACTACATGGAACATATTTGCAGACTGTTTCTGTCTCACATGGAGCAGGAATGGAATGTTCCCTAGGCTGGCAGTGTCCACGCCTCTTGTACACAATGTGTCACTAGGTTTCGATTCTCTGCAGTCCCGCCTCCTCTCCTCTGATCACTAAAGAAGCTGCAGGCTCCGTATGAAGAATAAGTTCCTGCGGATTGAGAGGTGAGAGGTGATTCCATTTATACCAAATTACCCCAGCTATAGATCACCAGGAGATACTCTGCGCCTGCAGACATAGTCACAAACACAGGAAAACACATTCACAAACAGGGCCGGCCTTTGGGGTGTGCGAGCTGTGCGGTCGCACCTCGTGCTAATTTCTCAACAAGATGATAGATAGCAATACACTGCACGGCCAGCCATAGATAGCAATACACTGCACGGCCAGCCATAGAGAGTAACACACTGCACGGCCAGCCATAGATAGCAATACACTGCACGGCCAGCCATAGAGAGCAATACACTGCACGGCCAGCCGTAGATAGCAATACACTGCACGGCCAGCCATAGATAGCAATACACTGCACGGCCAGCCATAGATAGCAATACACTGCACGGCCAGCCATAGAGAGTAACACACTGCACGGCCAGCCATAGATAGCAATACACTGCACGGCCAGCCATAGATAGCAATACACTGCACGGCCATAGATAGCAATGCACTGCACGGCCAGCCATAGATAGCAATACACTGCACAGCCATAGAGAGCAATACACTGCACGGCCAGCCTTAGAGAGCAATACACTGCACAGCCAGCCATAGAGAACAATGCACTGCACGGCCAGCCATAGATAGCAATACACTGCAC